AGTGGAATCTGGAAGTTGACCTGGGATTTGTGGTGACGTGTGATAAATGGAGTGAAGCTGACATTTCCCTGCATTTGTCTGTTTGCTCACATTCTGCCTCCACGTGGTATAAACATAGCTAGGGAGTGTCTTTCTGTCTCTGTGTTCGTGGAAATGTCTTGAAGGCGGCTCTCAGCTTCAAACTCACTTGGTGTGATAAATGCCATGGTTGAAGTGTGCGCACAGTGCCAGGAGACAGGTTGGCAGAGGCTCTGGGTGCAGCAGGGGCACCTCGGGGGCCCTGCGGAGAAGAGCTGTAACGTGAGGTCTCTGCCTGGGACAGAGCGGGCGCTATTTCCTTACAGGGGAGACTAGCCATTGACACTTACTAGTCCAGGATTTGGGTTGAATGGCGTTGAGTGTTCTGTTTTGTGGCTGGCTGGCTTTCCATCCTGTGCCGCCTTTCTCCTCTGCCCAGGCCTGCACAGTTACTGGGGACTGTGGCGCTTTGCTCAGAGGCTGTGTTGGGCCCCTCTCGGAGCAACACGGACTCCCCGGCACACAGCGTCTGCCAGCTCCTCCCATGTGTCAAAAAATAATCAGTAGTCAACCTAAGAAAGAAATGGAAAATTTTAGTCGAGCCAGCCTGAGAAGTATAACCCAGAGGCAGTTTTTCAGAAAGCTCTGAGGACAGTTCCACAAAGCAAGCGGGGAGGCCAGTATGTGTGGTTTTGGCAAAGAGGGTGCGTGCAGTCGAGCACTCATCCTGGTTGAGGGTCACTGCTGTTCACGAAGAATAGATAGCTTAGTTAATGGTTTTAGTGCTTTTCTATGTGCGAGGATGCAGGAAACTGGTTCATAAAATTTTCTCCTGAAAATACCTACCTGAGGGCCAGTTCTGCCAGTTTTCCCAGAGCACAAAGTGCCTCATCCCGATCTTCGCCCTGAATTCCCTCCCAGGTGGCTGTAGGTGCACGACTGCAGTGGGCGATGACCGGATTCTTGTAGGACCGGATGGTGGACAACGTTCTTTATCTACAGTCCCCTTCCTTTCAGGCTTGGTTATGACCAAGGCGTGGGAGGCATTTCATGACCAGTTTGTCCCGAGGCTGCTCATTCCCAGGTCAGGTGAAGCCCTGGCTGATAGGCCAGCTGCTCCGTGCGCTGTTCCCGGGCAAGGGCCTGGTCACTGACAGCAGCCAGCGCCTCGGGGCCGCCTGTCTCACTGGCCTGCTCCAGTCCAGGACACGGCACCCTCCGTGGCTTCTTCCCACGTTGAGAGTCACTATTACAACCACTCATCCTGGAGGACGACAGTCTTGGTCAGCTGTTTCAGGTCACCTAGTCATTATTTTTATCGGAGACTCAGCACACACTTGGCCATGCAGGAAACAGTAATCTTGTAAGATAGGTCACATACAAGTACTATAGTGACATTAATAAGGTCAAAAGTAAGTACTGAAAATAAGAACTTCCATTAGGTGCGGCCCAGCATCTCCCCGGGTCGTCTGAGCAGTCTGTTCTGCACCAGGCACTGTCTTTGAGGGAAATGATACCTTGGCATCGTACATAAAGTCCACCGAAGAGTGTACGTACAAAGTGCGTGGCGGGTCATCGTGAACCCTTACAGAACTGAGAAAAGAATGTTATCTTCTAAGGAGTTACGTGGCTGGCGCCAGAAGGAGAATTGACCTTTATTGTTGAGCAGGTGTTTCTGCCTTTGTCTTAACACATGATTACAGCTGCACAGTGCACCCTGGAGGGAGGGAGGGAGGCCCAGAGTGACAGTAGAGAGGTAGTTTTGTGTTTAAATTTTTCTTGTCTTACATTAAATGTGGCTTTTATTTCATCACATCCTTGAGCCTTCCAGGGTCTGTGCGCACCCTACTCCCTCTGGGAGCTGTGGATAAGGTGGTGCAGGGTGGCTCTGCATGCCCCACCCCACCCCCGCCCCCGTCCACCAGGGACGGCACTGAGGGAGCGACGCTGCCGCACCCCTGGGGGCAGAGGCCACTCTCTTCGTCCTCCTTTTCCAGGCCTTTGCTTGCTTCATCTCTTGGACATGCCAGTGGCTGTCCGTGGATGATGGGCAGTTCACACCAGACTCCTAGCCTGTAGCCATCTGAGCCTAGAAAGCCCCAGACCACAGTCTCCCCTCCTCCATTAGTCTGCCGAGCCTAGGCTGCAGCCCTGGCCCCACCCGTATGCCAGCACGCCTGGTCTCACTCTCCTCTTGTGCCAGCACCTTCCGGAGTGCCCTGGAACCTTGCTGGAGAAAGGCCATACCCTGGGTGAGGGCAGGCCTGAGTGGCCTGGGGGCTGGGTGTCCCAGTGCAAGCCTTCATCATGTCCACACCTTTGCCTGCTGCCCCGTGGTTGGGGGGCAGCTGAGCAGGCGCCAGGGTGGGAGATGTTCGGTGCCCCCCCAACCCCTCCACCACCTACTGATGCTCTGGTCTCCTCCCCTCCCAGTGCTCAGGCAGGCGCTGCGGCAGAAACACCAGGAAGCCCAGCAGGCCTGCCGGCCCCACAACTTGCCTGTGCTCCAGGCGGCTCAGCAGCGTGAACTAGAGGTAGGGTGTGGGCGGGGTGGGCACCACCTGGGCTCTGCTGATGGGGCCAGGTAGAGGGGGCTCAGCCTGGGAAGGGCCACTGAAGGCCTGATGAGCCCTCGTGCTGCTCTTCACTGTAGGGGGCTGGGGTGTGCTCAGACTGGGTGGAGGGTGTGTGATCCCCCTGCTCCTTGCCACCTGCTCTGGAGACTCAGCTCCTTGTGGGCTGGGCCTGCGCAGGGCAGGTATGAGTGGGGGCCGTTGTGCCACGAGGCCTTGGAGATGCACAGGTGATGGTGGGATGAAGGAGCTAGCCCGCAGGGGTCCATTCTGGGAACAACCCACAGGCCCACATGTAAAGAAGAAGACACGGCGGGTGGGGGAGCGGGCAGAGACATGTCCCCCAAGCCAGAGTGCAGGGAGGAGGTGCCAAGCTGGGGTCGGCCACAGCTCCAGTGCAGAAGAGACATACTCAAGGCCCAGAGATGGTGGCCAGCCTGATAGTCAGCAGAGGTGGAGCTGCATCTGGCCGGCTTATGGTGGTCCCGACCCAAGCTGTCAGGGCTGGGCGAGGCCTGGCACAGCAAAGCGTGGACGCTTGGCAGGGGCTGCAGCAGGAAAGGTGTTTGGGAAAGGGCATCTGAACCCATCTGCAGGGTTCTTTGTGGCCAAGAAGGGAGGGCCCTTCATGCAGTAAGGGCAGTATCCATGGTCTTGGAGCTGGAGCCTCTGGGGAGGGGAGAGGGACCAGAGGAGGCTGAGCCCATGAGCTGGCCCTCGCCGTGGCAGGCGGTGGAGCACCGGATCCGTGAAGAGCAGCGCGCAATGGACCAGAAGATTGTCCTGGAGCTGGACCGGAAGGTGGCGGACCAACAGAGCACACTGGAGAAGGCAGGGGTCGCTGGCTTCTATGTGACCACAAACCCACAGGTCAGTGCTGCGGGCCTGCCCTGGCCCAGCACAGGGGATGCTGGTTCCCAAAGGCCAGATTCCATCTGGGGTTTTAGCTGGTCACTGGGAAGCCCAGGCCCGGGGAGGAGGGGAGCAGGTGGTGAGTTAGTGAGGCTCCCAGAAGGGTTTCTGCCCCGTACTCAGCACAGAGCCACTGGAGGGTAAGCCAGCTGACTGCAGGGCATCGTCCATCTTCCCCAGGCTCGCTGCACCACACAGGGCCCTTGTCTGCAGTTCCCCTGCATACACCTCCACTTACGTCAAGCCAGGGCGACTGCTTGCCCTGCCGTGGGTGGAGTCCTGGCTTCTGCCCCTTTCTGGCAGGTGGTAGCCAGGCTTCCCTGGAAGCCAGCCCCGTGGACTCACTGCCTGGTACTCTCTAGGCCTTGATATGTGCCCTGGGTCCCTGGGGAAAGGAGGCTGCTTCCTGGGTCCTTTGCCATGGCTAAAGGGGACCACGTGTCACTCTAGCCTCATAGTGGCCCCTCTGCACCCCAGGAGCTGACGCTACAGATGAACCTCCTGGAACTCATCCGGAAGCTGCAGCAGAGGGGCTGCCAGGCAGGGAAGGCGGCCCTGTGATCAGGCGGGACTCCTGCCAGTGACCAGCTGCCCACCGCGGCGGAGAAGACAGCCCTGTCTCAGTTGCCAGAGGCAGCGGAAAGCTGAGTGGTGCTCGTCTTCCTGAAGTCTGACCCCCACCTTCCCAGCTGCTGCAGGAGGGGCTCCCATGAGGAGAGGCCACGTGGGCCTGGGCTGCACCTACCACCCACCCACCTCCATCTGGATTTTGTCCAAAGTAGGGTGGTCAGGTAAAAGGAACGGTGGGCCCAACCCTCAGCTGTCTGCCCCAGGCATCCTATTTGTTCTTGTCTCGGCTCCACCCCTGGCAACTACAGCCCCAGAGTGGGAAAGGCTCCCAAGTTGTATGTGACCCCCAAGAAATAAAGAGGGCCCAGTATGGCATGCACGTGGCTTGTGTGACACCTCTGTGGTGCCTGTCGTGAGCAAGGCCCACCCAGGCCTTCGTCTAGGAGCTCCGTGCCTTAGAGAGGAGTTGGCAGAACTTGCCCCACTCCTCATGTTACAGAGGCCCTTCCTGGGGTAAGTTCCAGGCTGCCAGGGCCACCTCCAGTCTGCTTCATGGGGAACGGGGTGGCCAAGGGCCTGCCCCTGTCAGAGCGGCAGGAGCCTGGTGTGGAGCACTGGGGTCAGGACACGGAGTAGCAGGGAGAGTCAGGGAGGGAGAGACCGAGGGTAGGAGAGCACCAGCACCCCCAGGAGTGTCTGTCTGCGTTGGTGTGAGCCTGGTTGTGGAGCTGGGGGTGCACGGCTGGGTCTGCAGTACAGCCAGAAGGGAGGTGTTGGGATCCCTGCCGTGGTGTGCCGAGGCACGTGCTGCTGGAGAGGCAGTGCCTGACGGGGAGACTCCTCGGCCATCGGAACCCCTTCCTCCGTGCCACTGACCGCAGGTGAGGGCTCTGCGGGGAAAAGCATCGCAGGCATGGAGTTGAGGGCTCTCAGCTGCAAACACAGTGGTTTATTGACAGGCCAGTTCCTCCAGCCTGGCCACTGCCCAACGGTGGGGCTCGGCGCGAGTGGGTTGGACCCTGCAGAAGGCGGTTCTCCTGGTCCAAGGTCTGGGGGTGGGCAGAGTCGCAGCCATGCTCACTCACTGAAGGGCAGGTCCTGACAGTTCCCAGTGGCTCTTGCAGGTATGGGGCTCAGCCCACACCTGAGTGCCCACATCCTGGGCAGGGCCAGCGGGGTCTCACCATTCGGGATGTGAAAGGTAAATCCGTGAGAGGTTGGGGTTGGCGGTGTAGCTGTAGTGTTGGTGTCCGCCTGGGGGCCACCCAGACACCCCAGACCCCTGCCCTGAGGGCCCCTGAGTCGCAGCCCAGGTGAGGCAGCATCTGGAGGTGGGGGCTGCGGTGCTAGGCCGGGCGGTGGCAGAGGCTGCCCGTGCGGAGCCTCCGCTTGAGCTCCTGCCACAGCAGCTGCCGCTCCCGCTGGGCGCCCTTCATGACCCCGCTGTTCTCCAGGGCTCGGCGGGACAGGTAGGGCAGCACCTCCATCACGGGACCGTAGGGCACGTACTTGTACACGGGGAAGCCCGCCTGGCCTGCACACGTGGGCGGCAGCAGTGAGTCCCGGCCCCTGCCGCCCCACCCCCACCCCCCGAGGGATGCCCGGCTCACCCAGCGGGAAGCTGATCTGGTCGCACATGCCCAGAAGCTGACCAAAGTACACCTGGCGGTCGGCAGGGTGCAGGCCCAGCTCCTCCATCCTGTGAACAGGCAAAGTGGTGGGTGAGCCGCTCCCTCCCTCCCCCCCTGGGTCCCCAGCCTCCATCCCCTGCAGGGGGAAGTGCAGGTGTAGGCTCTGTCCTGCCTAGACCATGCCTCCGCCCTGCTGCTCCTGTCCTTGGCCCTTGGACACCAAGTTCTCTCCCGCCCCAGCCAGCCTCCCCTCCTGTTGCGCTTGCTCCCCAATGGCCCCTTCCCTGCTGCCCACCTTAACGCAGCGAGGGAGGCCCACCCAGTGGCCGGCACTTGGTGTGGCCCCGGGAAGCGCTCAGCCCTCCCCCATCCCTTCCTCGAGCCCCTCAGTTCCACTGCCATGTTGCTAGCCCCCCGACCCCACCTCCAGCCTCTCACTCTCCCCTCGCTGGCTGCTCTGTCCTTAGGGCAGCCACTAGCCGCTGGTGGCCACCAAGCCTTCAGAGCCACCAGTCTGAATCGAGATGGGCTGCAAGCATCAAACACACATGGGTTTTGAAGACTTAGTGTGAAAAAAGGGTGCAGAGTATCTCACTGTTGTTCTGAAAACATGTTTAAGTGGTAATACCATGGATATACTGGAAAATTAAAGTGTATTATTGAAATTAACTTCATCTTTTTTTAACGTGGCTGTTGAAACATTCAGAATTGATGGATACAGCTTGAATTTCTATTAGTGCTGCTCATACATTCCCAGGGTTTGAAATACATATTGACGATTCCCACGTTTCTATCTCTGGCTTCCTGTATGTGCAGATCGGACTCACACATCTGCACTGGCCCCCTGCAGCACCCAAACCCTTCCACCCTCCAAGGGCGTGTTCAGCTCTGGGTCCTCCTCACACCCACCCAGGCTGTAGGCTGGGCCTGTTCGTTCCTGTCCCCGTCCCTGGGGCCCACCGCCCATCTCCTCACTGTCTCAGGGCCCCGACCCAGGCTCCGGGAGCACCGAGCGCGTCTCTCCCTGGACCTCCACACGAGGGTCATCCCACAGACCCTTCCCCTCCTTCCCCCAGAGCCGGGCTCCAGTGTTGCGGCCCCAGTCTCCACCGCACTGCCCTGGTATCCAGCTTCTATGCTTCTGTCCCCCACTAGGACATGAACCCCATGAGAGAAGGGTTGCCACCGAGTAGCTGCCTGGCAGTAGTGAGGACAGTTGTGTAATGTCCTGCAGGGAACGACCATTCCCCACTGCTGCTTCCTCCCCGGCCAGTGTCCACGCCCTCTGCCACGTGACTGCAGCCTCTCCCAGCACTGGGATGTGGCTCTCTCCATCCGGCCTGCCTGTATCTGGGCTGGGCATGACTTCCTTTGGCCAACAGAACAGTAGTGAATGTGACTTTGGCAGAGGCTTGCCCTCTTCAGGGCTTCTGGAAACCTGAGACCGACCTGGAGAAGCTTGCGCTGGCGCCCTGGACACCAGACCTGCAATGCAGTGCCCTTTGCTGCCTCAGCCACAGATGAGTCTACTTAGGCCCAACCAGACCCCAGCTGACCACAGATGCCGATGGACCCCCGGCAAGACTGGCAGAAGCAGCCATGCTGCTGGTTCACGGACCACCCTGTGTTCAGGCCTCTGAATTTTGGGTTGGTTTGTTACTCGGCCAAACTAATACAGGCTGTCTGACTGCGGTCCCTGGTGTGTGGCATCAGGAAGAGGCCCACACTGCTTTCTCCAGGAAGTCCACCCAGGCTGTTCAGGGCTCTGCAGGGGCCGAACCTCCGCCAGGACAGCAGTGTTTGTGGAGCCTGGCACAGGCTGTGGAGGCTATGAGAGACGGAGGGGGAGCGCTCAGCTGGCCCTCAGGACCAGGTAACAGTGTTCAGGGCAGGAGGCCACTGTGGCCAAGACAGAGAGGACAGACATGTTCCCAGTGACAAGATCCAGAAACCAGGAGAAAGGCCGTTTCCTTTGTACCTTCCGAAGCTCCAATGTGCCCCGCCTGAGCGGACTGACCACTGCCTAAAACGTGAGTGGCAACCACAGGCAGCTGTGCTCATGACCGACACCCAAGGCGATGGCTGCTGGGCAGGCGCGGGGGCTCCATGCACAGCCTCTGGTGAAGGACCTGGCGCCAGAGACTGGCCTCATCAAGGTTCCATGTCAGAATTGTGTTTTTAAGCCTAAGTCAAAGCCAGCTTTTCAAATCTGCAACTCAACCCTGTACTTTTCGAAAGACAAAGAAACCGGAACTAATCTTCCCTGAGCACAAAAGGTGTTCCTGGCCATCCCACATCCAGGGACAGGATGGGGCGTCCACGGTGGGACTAGTGCCTGCGGGAGGGGTGCCCAGGGACGGAGGGAAGAAGACAGAACAGTCCACCCAGCTGGGACGCCACTCGGACCCCTCCAGCCCCACCCCACATGGAAGCAGCCTGACCCCAACCCAGCAGGCCTTATCCGGGCAGGAGGGAGCTCAAGTAGGACAAGCAGCGTGCTACCCAGTGGCTCAGGACGACCTGGGTCAGCGCCCCAGGCAGCCCTGCCTGCCCGCTGTGGGCGGGGAAGGCGAGAGCCAGTAAGGACGCTGCTGCCGGCTTCCCGTGGGGCCAAAACCCGCAGGAAGGTGGAGGCTGGGGAGGGGAGCTGGGGCCCCTGGTGTGGTCCGGTTTGGGTTAATGTATGAGATAAAAGAACGTGGTGATAATACTGGAATGTTTAGGAACTGCTTCACCCTGCCTCTCTGTCTGAGACCATATTAAATTCCAAACGTAATTTAAAACGTTAAGAGGAATTGTTTACAAATGAGGTGACAAATCAGAGGCCTCCTAAGGGACTCCAACATTTCACGCTATTTAAATCACCTAATGGATTTTATTTTTTAATTTGAAACTTTATTAAGTCAGGTATTAATGATAAAAACCAAAGAAGTAACTGCAAATAGCCTTTTTGCTACTGCAGCACGATGCCCAGCCAGGCACGGGGGGTTCTGGGGACACTAAAGCCACAGCTCCAGCTCTTTCCACAGATGTCCCCTCAAAACCTACCGCCTGCACATGCTTCCAGGCAGCACTCACCCTAGCCCTGCTGACCATGGGGCACCTGGCGGAGGGGCCGAGCCTACCTGCGCAGCGTGAAGCGCACCGTGTCCTCGTTGTGGGAGGCCACCATCACTGCAGCCCTGGCGTGCTTCAGCTCCTCCAGGACGTAGTTAAGGCACCTGGGGAAGGGGACACATGAGCCGGGCCAGGACAGGGCAGAGGCCACGGGCAGGCCCTGGGCTGTCCCGTGAGCTGGCTCCCACCGTGGGTGCCCATGGCGAGGGGACCTCGGGGAGGACCACCTGCCCCCTCATCTGGGCTGCACGTTCAACAGGACTGAGGCACAGGACCCCGTGCACCCTGAGAGGTCACAGCTTCACTTCCAGGAAGGGGTCTGGAAGGAAATTAAAGGCCTGGGGGACCTCCCTGTCTCAGGGCATGAACAGGGCCACCATCTGGCAGTGAGGACAGTCAGCAGGGTGTGTGAGTTCTGACCCAAAACTCCATTTCCAGCAGCCCTGCCCGGGGGTACAAAAGACAGGGACACCGTATGCTGTGAGTCACCATTGTAACAGGAAGGCATCCCACCAGAAAGCTTGCAGAGCCTGGCACGTAAGTGTGGGCACCCTGCGCTGCCACAGGGGAACACGAGGGTCTGCGCACTGACATGGGAGGGTCCGGGCCGGAAGGTACATGGACAAGTGAGGGCAGAGGGCCAACGCACAGATGCACACAGCACAGACGACAGAGCCCCTGGAAGGAAGCAGGGTGTGGCTGGGGCGCGAGCCCATCGGAAGCACACGCAACCCCAGAAAAAGGAGGCGGTCTGTCCCCGCTGTGGGACCCGATCACCAAGATCAACAAGCAGAAGCAGGTGCAAAAAGTGGGCAGTCCTGGCGTGGAATTAAAAGGCTAATCGGCCTCGTGTGGTGGGTGGCAGGGGTGCTGCTGGGGCACAGCTCTCGTCCTCAGTGCCAACAGGAGCAGACCCGGGCACCTGACAGTCTAGTCGGCTTCAGTAGACTTCCATATTTAACAAAACCCTTAATGCTTTGGGGAAACGTAAAAGCAGAAGAGGCACTGGTTCTGGCCCCAGGGCTGCTCCTGCTTTGACAGGGTCACAGGCCAGCTCGAGCCCCTCGCCTGTTTCCTTGCTCCCCTCCCCAGGAAGCCATAGGCTGCACGGGCCACAGGGGGTGGCACACCTGTGGTACATGGTGTTGGTGGCCTCGTATGTGGGGTTGATGGGGTCCTCGTAGCCAATCTCCAGGGCACGGGCACGTTCCTGGGCCATGTAGGCGCCACGCACAAGCTTGGCCCCAAAACACCAGCCCTCTCGGCGAGCCAGCTCCACGTCCAGGGTGACATTGTCATAGGCTTCCTGCGGGGCCAGGGCTGAAAGTCGAGGACGACCAGGATGGGCTCCTCCACCCTGGGTCCCCGGGGGCCTCCCCAGGGTGTAGTCCCCCGGGGCAGCCAGCCAAGGTTTGTGCTCAAGGGTCCTGCCCTTAAGTGCCCCTGGGCTCCCCGAGGCACACACACAACTCTGGGGAGGGGCCCAGAGCCTTCATCAGATCCTTAGAGGGAACCAAGCTAGAAACAGTGGGAGAAAACCGTCACTGTCACTATCTGGGGCTTGAGGCACGTTACGTGAACTCTCAAAAGTTCTTCCATCTTCCTCCAGCCCCTTCAACACCCTATCTGGGGCCTGAGGCCCGGAGGCGGGGCCAGCTGGCAGCTGTCCTGGGAACCTTTCTCCCCACCGGGCCGGGGCCGCCGGGAGGCGTGGGAGCACGGGCGGCGCACCTTGAGGTAGCACTGGTACGTGTTGAAGATGAGCGGCTTCTCCACGTTGAACCTGCGCTGCATCTCCAGCGTCAGGCGGCTGATGGCCGGCTGGAAGTAGGTCTGCTCAGCATCCACCATCAGCCGCACACCTGCCTCGCTGGCTTTCTGAGGATGCAGGGAGGGAGGGAAGTCTGTCTGGGGCTCGGGTGAAACAGGTGCCCCAACCCCCAGGCCCGTCCCAGAGTCCCCGACCTTGGCCAGGACGTCCATCCTCTGCAGCATCCTTGTCATCTGCAGCTCTTCCTCCTTGGTGAACCGTGACAGCAAGGGCTCCAGCTGTCCCGTCTGAGGGGGCAACGCAGTCAGGCCACAGCAGGGCTGCAGACCTGGGCTCTCGAAGCCAGCGCTCCCTCTGCCCGTGGACACCCTCCCGCCCCCAGGTGCTGGGCCAGGACCAGTGGGCCTCATCCCTGCCCCTCCCCTGCCCTGTCTGTGCATTAAGATCTGGCCGGCCACACAGTGTCCCAGAACCATGCTGCCTGTCAGCACACCCTTCCTCATGGGGCTGCTGCCTTAGGTCAGGCCTGTTCCCAAGGAGTCTACTCCCAGGGACTCCCCAGGGTCCTCAGGATGGGTCCCCTTCTGCTTCCACACAAAGCTCAGGAAGAGACCCTGGACCCACCCAATCACCTGGAAGGCCTCAGCCCCCAGCAGGGAACGGACCTGGAGGAGGAACCGTGGCTGCAGGCAGACGGGGTCAGCCGCAGCACAGACTCTCATGCAACAGGGGCACAGAGGCACCGTCTCCACATGGTGGCCTTCAGGGGCTGGGAGGGTCAGCAGTGGGCTCCCACGCTGCTCACCCCACCTGCCCGTGAACACCACCCAGGGCACTCCCAGCGAGGTCGCAGGCACCAGGACTGGAGTTTATGGAAGGTGGTGTCTGTGGGATGTTTCCCTGGCCCCTCTGCAGCTTCCTCACATCCTGGCTTGGAGTGGTTTCAAATCAGACCACAAACATCTGGCCACCCTCCCAGGGGCAGATGGAGTCTCATTCTCCTCCCCCGAACACAGGCCTGTCCAGCGACTCTCTTTTGACAAACAGGACTGGGCAGAAGCGACAGCACAGGACTTCTGAGGCTAGACTAGAAAAGGTGATGGTGTCTGCCGGGCTGGTGAGGACACTTGTGCTGGGGACCCAGTGCCACTGCAGAAGCCCTGGCCGTGTGAGTGGGGACCCTCCGTGACCACCCTGAGAGAACAGTGAGGTTGGGGGGACTGGACGCACACGGACGGGCGGTGTGGGTGGCAGCACCTGCATGTTAGGGACCACAAGGTGCTTGGAGAGCTCAGTCTTGCTGTCGATGAGGCTGTCCCAGTCCAGCAGGTCCAGGGTGCTGCAGGGAAGGCGTGTCAGGTCACGGGCACCACAGCCTCCCCAAAGGACCCGCGGCCGCGGGTCTGCTGCAGGCCCGGCCCCAGACCAGCCCCTTCCCTAAAGGAGCACCTGCAACCCAGCCCCCACAAAGCCTGCCTCAGTGCTCAGCTTGCAAAGACAGATAAAAGTAAACACTATCTTCTGTTTAAAAAAATGGAAACCGAAACACAAACATTCTTTTGTCAGGGCAGCAACAGCAGTAAGAACCCGGGGCACACAGCGAGGCCACCACCGGCCACGCCAGGCTTGGGGAGCAGCCGAACACGGGAGACCAAGAAGGAGGGGACGGCATGTAGCCGCCAGCCCCCAGCCCCTCACGCGGCGGCGTGGGGCTCTCTGGGTTTCAGCCACCCTCCCCCTTCGCCTTCCCCTGCCTGCTGGGTGGGTCCCAGGACGGCTGGGTGTGGCACCCTCACTTCAGAACCCAAATAATCCCATAAGGAGCCCTGCAGTTTGGGGAGCCCTGCCCAGCAGCAGAGCCTCCCTGCAGGACAGCCAGCTCTGTCACCTCCCACTGTGCGTCGTCGGGGGGGGGGGGCGGGCGGGGAGGGCGGCAGGTCCCTCAGCACCATCATCCCAAGGCCCACGCCCTGGACAAGGGTGACAAGGATGCAGAGAAGACTCCGGAAATCTCAGTCCCAGCGTGGGGGCCTACTCTTACCCGGACACGCCCAGGGTCTCTGCAGTGAACCAGTTCTCAATCTCTGTCCTGGACGCGATGCCCATCTTCACCACGCTTTCCTTCAGGAGTGAGAAGGTGTCAGTCCAGCCCCATTCACGAACATCTCCTGCCCCCGCCCACTGGTCTGTGATGCTATACTGAGACCAGGCTACAGTTCTGCCTTGGGTTCTGCCCCACAGATGGGTCTATCCCGCACCCCCCACAACGCACCTGCCCACCCCTGCAGCTCCACAAGGCTCTGCCACCTGCAGGGCGGGTCCTCCTCCAACCCTCCCACCCAGGACATCCTCAGCCTCTGCTCAGACCCCCTCCCAGCCGACCCAGCAGCTGTGGGCTGGGCTGCAGGCCCTGAAGCAGCTCTGGGAACCCAGGCCAGCCAGTTCTGTCTGGGCAGGGCTCCCCCTCGCCCGCCCACTCACATCCACCGGGCAAGGGCGGCCCCACCTGCAGCGCAGCCACCTCCAGCTTCGTGTCCACGGCAGCCAGCCCAGCCTTGCCCTGCTCTGCAGCCATTTGGTGGAAGAACCGTCTCCACTTGGCCAGCACATCTGAGAACTGCAGCTGCAGAAGCACATCGCAGGTGCACACCCCGCCCGCTACCCCCAGGACCTCCGTGTAGCCCCTGAGGCCTCCCCATCCCGCCTGTGTGCCCGGCACCCAGTGCCAAGGCACTGACCGGCACATGAGCTTCCCTTCACGCTCACAGCAGCCCAAGTCCTTACAAACTCTCTGCAGGTGGAAGGTGCTCAGAATTACCAGAAACTGGGGTCTCCCCAGTGCACTGAGCTTGATGGCTGAGAAGCCGTCCTCGCTGGCGCCACCTGTGAGAAGCCACAGGAAGAGCTGTCAGGGCTGGGAGTTGTGGGGGGCCAGGAGCCCATGCCCAGAATCTGTGCCGCTCAAGAGTGAGGGCACGCTGCTGCCGTGAGACAGACTGCAGGGCTGGTGGTGGCCGATCTGCCTGTTACTTCCCTACAACACACAGCACTGGGCCACCTTACAGATGGGCCCTGAGTCCACCAGGGAGCTCCAACGATCCAGTCACTAAAACTGAGACGGTGCAGTGGCACCAGCAGATCTGTCCCCCCTCCCCAACCAGGCCCACCCCTACAGGGCAGGCCCTCGGCTCCAGGGAGCCACTCGGGTGGCTGCTTAGCAAACTCAGGCCGAGGCACATGGCAACAGGAGGGGAAAGCCTGCCGCAGACCCAGGCCTCGGGGCTGGCTGACCACCTACTGGCAGGGGGATGGTGATCCTGCTTTGCCTGTAAATGCCCTGCACATGGCCGCTCGCCAGGGGGATGGACACGGTGGCCGGGTGTGCATCTGCCACGTGGGTCCAGGCAGTGGGCGAGGGAGCCGGCGAGACCTGCCCACCCTCTCCCAGCCTGTTTCCTCCCCAATGCCGTTGGTATCTGGCTGCCCCGGGGGTTCGTGGGTCACAGAAACGCCAGCAGAGCACAGGCTGGAGGCAGAAGGAACTCAGCCTCCACACCCATGTCTCTCCTCTGGCTTCTGGAAGCCCACAAGGCACATCTCTGCTCTTGTGTGGCCCTCCCATCCGTGTGCCCCCAGGCAGAGCGGGTAGGGAACCAAGAAGATGCCCCTGGCAGCGGCGCTGGGCAGCTGAGGGTCTGCCTGACCGCCCAGGGCGCCCCAGCACTGCTCCTAGGGGGCTGCTTCCAGGCGTCACTCACTCTCATTCCTTTCAGGGGGCAGCAGGAGGGCTGCTGGGGACCTGCTGGGTGACCAGTGAGGAGAGTCCAGCCCCTGCCTGGGACTGGGGGCCACTCAGCCCACTGACGGGTCCACATCTGGGCACCTGGTGCCAGCAAGGGGAAGGCACCCTCCTGGGACAGCCGGGCTTCTCGGGAAGGGTCTGGACTCAGGGCGACCCCAGCCTGACGCTCCTGCGTGTCACCCCAGGTCATCCTCACGACCCTCTGGGCCACCCAGATGGGGATGAAGCCCTGAGCAAACACTCCGGCCGCAGCCTCACATCTGTCCACCAGCACCTCCATGAGGCTGGGCCCAGCGGGGGTCAGCCGGCAGCGAGCAGGGCCCACCTGAAGCCTCGATGCAGCGCAGGAACGTCTCCATGTGGCTGTCACACTTGGCCTCACTGGCGTAGAAGTAGGTGCGGGCGCTGACGACACCGTCCCGGCGGTCTCCAAATGCCCGGTGGGCCTGGAACTGCTTCTCCCTCTTACTGGTGCCTGGAGAGGCGGGCAGGGCCCTGAGCAGGCTCCCAGCTCTGCGCCACGTTCCGGCTCCAACCCCACGCCAGGCACCCAGGCCCTGCCGACCCCGGCCCCCACACTGTGCTGCTCCCCACTCCCCAAATCCACCTGCCTGACACCTGCTGTCCCTTCTTCCTAGCCAACCCCTAGTCATATGGAAACCCTGGCCAGGAAGGCAGAACCCAGACCCACTGAGGATAGAGTCGACTGGGTCCCCGGGAGAGGCTGTGAGGACAGGTCAGCCACTCAGAATGACAGGCGGGGTGCCCGGGGACACAAGGAGGAGCCACAGCATCACCCCCAGCCCCAGGCTTGCAGGTGCCTCTGACACCAGGTCTCCCGAGCCAGGGCTGTGCGGGTAGGAGAGTGTCTATTCCTGAATGGCTGCCCCTCACTCACCACAGCTGTCCCTCTCCACCGCCGAGGTACAAGACCTGCAGGAAGGAAGACGAGGGTGAGGGTCAGGGTCACGCCACGTCCAGCACAAGTGACAAGCGTGTCCCACTGAGGAGGTACAGGGGGAGGAAGCTAGAGGTGGAGCCCTGATCCTGACCAAGGAGCGGAGTGTCACCTGGGCAGGTGAGAGTGACTGACCCCACACCACCACCCCGGCCTCCCGGGTAACCCCCTCTGAGCCTCGCAGACAGGACCCAGCCAACCAGCCAAGCCCTGTGCCCCGAAAAGCCCTGGGTCTCCCTGTGGGTGGAGCCCCCCACAGAGAGTGAGGAGGAGGAAGAACAACAGAGTCAGGAAGTGGGTGGGTCCTTGAAGCTGGCATTCCTTCCCATGAGGAAAGGGTGGGGCCACGTGCCAGTCAGGGCCAAGGAGGATGACAAGGACTAGGGAGATAGGGAAGCCACCAGCGGAAACGACCCCGGAGTCGAGGAGAGGGGAGCGAGGCCGCGCTCTGCCCTCCCCACCACCCTGCCCGCCTCTCAGGGTTGTTTTCAAACCAGCAACCAAAACTTTTCCTTTAAAATGCAAGCTCTTCCTTGGCCATCACACCTGAATAACCCCGAGTCCTCTTGCGGACAGGACATTGAGGCCACCCTGGGAGTGGGCACCTGTAAGAGCAGACCGAGGTCCCCCCACTGTGGCCCCCGGGTGGAGGCATGACCTGGCACCACCATCTGCACTCAGGCAGGGGCCTCATCCCAAGGTGGTGTCTGTCGGGGACTCAGGACTACTCCATCATCACACAGCCCACAACCTGTGGGTATCTGCCTTCTAGGAGAGGACACCATTATCCAGGGGCTCCCAAGGGCCTGCGGCCAGGTGACAGTCCCAGTCAGCATTTCCACCGCTGGCCCATCTACCCTCCGAGCCCCAGCCATCCTCCAAAAGCACAGAGGAGCCAGTTGGCCACACAGCCACACGGTCAGTCTCCGAGCAGATGACACTCATCAGGAACGGGGCTGCACTCTGGACGAGGCCAGGCGAGGAGTGGGTCACAGGGAGACAAAGATGGCAGTTACCAGACTGGGGGGGGGGGTGTCGCATCACCACGGAGAGAAGGAGCATGCTCTGTGCGCGCATACACGTGCACACACACGTGCACACACACTCACAGACACACGCACAACCCAGGATGTGGAGAAGGGAACAGAGCAAGAGAGGACAGCAGGAGTGACCCATGGGCTTGCAGAAGTGGCAGGAAGACCCCAGCCATCCCCTCGGCCACCCCCAAGCTCACCTCTGCATCAGGTGACTTGTTGGCTGGGTGCCTTTTAGAAAAAAGCAGAAAGTGAGGGGAAACCACGCTGGCTGCCCTCACAAGAGCTCTCCCTGGTCAAATGTAGGAGGAGACAAGCCCCCCAGGCCCTGGCTCCAGGCAGCACCCAAGACACTACACAAGCCGGTCCCGAGGGAGCTGCCGCTGCCCTGGGAACCAAGGCCGGGCCCCGCCTCCAGCCAGCCCTGGGACTGCACGGCCATACAGACACACCTGCCGTCCACACTGTCCCTGGCAGTCCTCATCACAGCCGGTCATCAAGAGGAGCCCCAGCCCCACAGCTCTCAGCCTGCAGGGGCCACCTTGGGGGGCTTCTCTCCTAGACTTAGGGCCTGGGCCTCTGCCTTCTGACAAGTGTTCCAGGAAAACACCATCCCACTCCCTCCTGCTCCCTACCCTGGGGAAGCCCTCCTGGGCCCCCTCCTCCCAGGGCCACCAGGCCTCCTCACGTCCTCAGGATGCCCGCTGGGCCTCCTGCACATTCAGGTGCCTCAATCTTTTCCATGCCTCTTACAGTGGGTGCCTGGGGCAGGCCCCCCACCACCTGCACTCTCCCTCCCCCACCCCACTCCTGCGGGCTGTGTGGCCTCTGCATCATTCCCTAGAGCAGGGCCTAGGGGCCTGTGAGAAATCTGTTCCCCACACAGGGGTCCTGATGGAGAACACACAGAGAGCTGGGCAGGCCCCTCGATGGCGTGGATGTTTAACCAGCGCCTTTGAGCCTGGTTGTGCCCCTTCGGCCAGACCCCCACCAAATACACAGGGCTGTCTGGCAGCAGACCTTCCTCGACACCTGTCACTGGCATTGGGTGGCGGCCACCGTCTTAGGACAGGAAGGGACTGCTACTCACGCCCCAAAGCCACCAAGCAGGGCTCTTGCAGCACAAGGGGCACCAACAGCAGGGGAGCCCAGGGTCACAGGCTGCACTGCCCAGAGCGGGGAGAGGCCGCCCACCTCTCAAAGCTCCCCTTCGGGGCAGGGAGGAAGCCAAGACGATTGCCCTGGGAGAGAGGTCTCTTCATACCAGAGAGAGATAACCCCATTGTGAAACCACCAGCCTTCACCCAGACCCAGTGGGGACACAGCCCACTAGTTATTCAAAAGGCAGCCTCAGTGAGGAGTGCAGGCCCAGCCCACAACCCCACCAGGAACACAGGGGTGCCAAGCTGGAGAACCCCGCCTTCACGACAGCGAATCGCAAGGCAGGGGCTCGGCCCCCCGGCCCAATCCACCAGCAGCTCAGCTGGCTAGGACATTCCGTTCCCAAGCCAGAAGCCTCATGTGACGCCTTTCCCTCCTCTCCCTCCCTTCCCCTCCTCTCCCAGGCCACAGCAAACACCAGAGCTTGAGACAGGGCAGGTCAGGACTCAGGGGCCCAGAGGCAAGCGAAGGCCAGCCTGGAGGGGTGCAGGCATCAGCCCAGAACCAGGCGTTCTGCACAGAAAGGGCTGGTCCTGCCTGGATCTCCCATGAGGCTGCTATTCCGGGAAGCAGAGGGTGACCTGGTCCTCAAATGTGGTCCTATGGCCCATCTAGGAGCGTGGGTCAGGGAGGTGCCCATCTGTCCCCATACTCACTGTCCAAAGAATGGGCCTTGCAGCTAGTCAGTGACTGGGACTGGCCTGCCACACCCCTCCTGGCAGCACACTCCTTTCTCTTTGGAGAAAGGCGCCAGGCCTGGCAGACTCCACATCCACCAGGCAGAGCCAGTCTGCTGATTGTGCCTGCTGGTTAGGAAATCGTCTCAGGGACCAGGCACAGGTAGGGCAGTGGGACCCATCCAGGGGGACAGGAATCCCCGAAGAGAAGCTTCGCAGAGCAAGAGGCTAGAGAACCTCTGACACCAGAGTGGGCAGATGTATTTTGCAAACTGCTGGGTAGCACCTATGCTCAGCCTTGGGGGCCGTATGGCACCTGCCATGGCCACTTCACTCTGCCCCTGTGTGGCTAAAGCAATTTGAATACCATATAATTTTCACATGTCACAGAACATTATTCTTGCTTCATCTCAACCATTTAAAAATACAGCAATGATTCTTCGTTTGCAGACTGTACAAAACCAGGTGGATCAGACTGGGGACCATAGTTTGCCGACCCCTATCCTCGCCCCCCTTCCAGCCTCGTGCACACAAGGCCTTCAGTGAAAGCCCAGAGCTGTCATCCTCAAGGGGCAAAAACACAACCCCAGGCAGACCCCAGAAGGCGGCCGGCAGTCAGGCAGACCCAGCTCTCCCAGCCAGGCCTCGGCCCAGCTCCGGTGTGGCAGGACTGCCAGGCAGGCCTTACTCCATCTCCTTGCGCTCAGCCTCCTCGGGGGTGAGGTCCTCCTCCACGCTGTAGTCCAGGATGGAGCCCACGCCGAAGGCCCTGTTGTGCTGGATCAGGGGCCGGATGGACTCCTGGTCCTCGCCGGCCACGAACTGCCCATAGAAGGTCATCTTCATCAGTCTGTCAAACAACCTTTGCCCCAGAAGTCTCCTGGTGAGATGCAGCAGCTTAAAGGCAAAGGGAAGTGACTGTCCTGGGCCACCCGGCACCCCCGGTCTCCAGCAGGACACCCCTGCTTCCCCACACATCACAAAGCCTTGACACTCTCCCCAGGCCCAAATTCTGCTCATGGCCTTGATTTTGTGGTGACACAACCCAAAGCTGCTTGCTTCTCCACTCACAGTAACTGCCCATCACACACTTCTCAAGCAGGGTAGCTGGTCCAAGCACTGCCCTTGCCTCTCTACCCTGCACACTTATGGGTGACCCCGGCAGCACACAGCGGTCTCCCGACCACCGCTTGGTGGATAAAGAAGTGAATGGAGGTCTCTCTGAGAACAGCAGTGGGCGTGTTCATAACATTCTCTGTATCCACACCTCTGCGGGTTACTTGTGGAAGAGGAGGTTTTGGTGTGACTTTGTAGAAGGTGAGCACCCAGATTTTTCAATGTTTTATTCTAAGCCCTAAAACAGTACCTGGCAAGGGCCAGCCCTCCTGTGGTTGTTGAACAGATGAACACATGCAAACTCAGAATGAGTGTGAGTCTGCTGGAGGAAGGCTAGGCTAATAGGGAGCCAGGTGACCGTCCATAACATCTGAGATGAGTGCTCACCTGGGACCAGCGGGGACTCAGCACAGTCACCCAGAGCCACTGCAGACCAGCAGCTCAGCAGACATGCCTCTGAGGAAGACAGCCGCCCTCAACCCCTCAGCTTTCTCCTCCAATCACATTTCACCAAACCCCAAACTTCTGCATCATTCATTCAAGTATTCCAAGCAGCTTCCTCCTGCCCGGCACAATTGTAGGCTAAACAAAACAGACGAGGAGCTCACATCCTAGTTGCAGGGAGACCCAGAAGGAGGGAAGTGCAAGGTACCTACACAGAGTGATTTGGAATGGGGAGTGAGAGGGTGCCGGCCAGGGCAGGGGCAGGAGGCGCTGGCTATCTTAGATCCAGGGCAGGGGGCTTGCCAGGAAAGGAGGTGACATGGAGCTCCCGCACTGGGGACTGCCAAGGCAGGAAGGAATGAGGACAAGGAGGCCCCTGGGGCCAGGGGATGACCACTGGGAGGACAAACCCACCACCTGTCTGGGAATTCCTGCATGTCCACTACCCCACCTCCAGCTCCAAGACAGGAAAAGCCTAAGGTTTCTCAAACCCTATGGATAGCACAAGTCCACTTTTTGGGGGGAATATTTCTTGGGATTAGGGTTTCAGGAAACAATCTCGTCTAAGCAAAAGCATGAGTGAGTCACACACTTTCATCCTGGTACCAGTCCCAAACAGCCTACCTCCACCCAAATGTAGACACACTTAACTACGGCTGGGGCTCAGACAGAGACGCTTAGGAGTCACACCTGCAGAAGCCTCGAGGGGGAAGTCTCCCAGGCCACCGCGTCTGCCTCGCTGCAGCCTCTCTGCAGGGCCTGACTTTATTGAATCTCATTACTTTAAAAAAAGAAGATTAGAAATGGAAAGTGAAAGTTCCAACCAGGACATGGGCAGGCCTCCTCCACCTCAGAGGAGACCCGGCCAGAGCAGCCCCGCAGGAGGAAAAGCCGAGCCCTGGACATATCAAAGCTCACCCCAGAGGCAGGCAGGGCAGAATCTGGGACCTGAACACCATCATTCAGCTCTGGAAAACCCCTGACATCATATATGCTAGCTCTGAGGACTGTCAGAAACACACCTTGTGTAGAAGTGGGCCAACTGTCTGCTCTTGTTCTGGCAAACTGTCCCACCAAGGGTAAATAATTTAGGCTGTGCGGGCCACACAGTCTCTGCCATAACTACCCAACTAGCATGAAAGGCACCCCAGCCAATGCTCATTGAAGGGACAGAAACAAGGCTGATGCTGGGATACGGTCCAGGGGTCGCAAGCTGGTGACCTCCTGCTCCCCAAGGGGAGGCAGGGCTCAGAAGGAACAACCAACAGTGAAGACCACCCAGGTACCCAGAGCCAGCCACTCAACCTCTCATCCTGGCAAAGGGGAGGCCAGCCTGTCAAGGGGACGACAGATGCACATGGGGCAGGTCTGGTGGTTCTAAGCCAACTCCAAAGCAAAGTGGCCCCTTTAAAACCACCCTGGCGTCAGGTGTGCCCCAGGGTGATGAGGATAGCCCCTCCTCTTCCCTAGGTAGGAGCACCCTTTGTGGACTTAGAAACTTGCAACAGTAACACTCAGTCATTTTCACCGTGAAAGGCTCAAACAGGCCACATGCTGAGCAAGGACGGTAAAGCTGGTTCTCTCCTCCCTGCCCTTCCTCCCATGAGGGGCCTTGTCGGTCCCATCCTCTCTCTCACACTCTCCTGCGATGGCTCACACCCAAGCACAGAGAAGACCTGGATTTTCTAAACTCTTCTCAAAAAGGCCTGCCTTCTGGCAAGTGCAGGCCCCCCGCTGTGTCCTGAGCCAATGCCGCAGCTCACACTGGGCTCCTGCAGGCTGTCACTCCCGGGGGCAGGAGCTGCACAGACCTGCACTGGCTCCGCAGGAGGAATTTTTGCTGCAGGCCAGAGCACGTGGAAGAACCAGGTTCTGGTGAGCAGCCCACAACTCTGCAGCATGGCCTCTGCCCCATTTCCTGCAGCAACAGGCGCCAAGGCCACTGTCTCCAGTGGGACCACCAGCAACGACAACAGTGGAACAGGTGCCGCGGAGGGCACACAGAGCACCTCACACAGTTACTGGGCTACTTAAGGATGTCCCCAGGACACAGGCAGAACAGGAGGAGAGCCCGGGAGAAGCCTTCCTGCTCCTCCAGGCACCCACAGTACAGTCCCAGCATAATGACACTTCCCCCAGGCAGGCACTCGAGAGACAGTGGAGCTGACATGGCGCCCCCAACCTGTCACCCACAGTACTCCAGAGCCCACGGCTCTGCTGGCTTCTCTGCTGGTTTTGAACCGTGCCCGTCAGAGCCACGCAACTCTAACTTAGTGGGCCTCTGCCCTCACCTTCCACCCACAGTGGCCTCACTTCACCTATGCCCAAGGTGTGGCTTGCGCTCCTCCTAGGGCCAGACACCCCAGCCTCTCCCTGGGGCCAAGGGAGGCAGCACAGTACCCTGAGCAGTCTCATCTGAGAAATCAACACCACCTGCATGAAAGCCGTCCAGACCCTTGGCAGCAACTGGACCCGCTTTTAAACTGTTTCCAGGATCACCTTAACTGGCAGTGGCTAAGACACTTCTGCTTTTTACTTGCCCAGAGCCCTCACACTTTTCAAAGTTACTGTGTTAAAGTTGCAAAAGTTGGATATTTGAGCAGCTTCCCATTTTCCCTCAACACTGTCTGTTCAGAGAGGTCATGTCTGGGGAGCCCCTGGGTCACAGATTCCAAGAACTCTGGGGACCCAGGCTATGAGCCATTGAATACTGCCAGGCTTCCCTTTGGGCAACAAGGGTGACACTCAGTTTTAAACTTCAGGTAAAACTATGTATTACTGCAAGTAGTATACAGCTTAGAAATTAAACTGGTCTTCGTCTTTGGTTGCTAGTAACTGACATGTAGTAAAGTTCACGGACCCGAAAGGGAGTGCAGGAAACCCCTCCCTCCCGGCTACAGGCGCTGCTCCAGAGCTCCACTTTGCACTTGGAAACTTCATAACGACTCCCAGCACCCGCAGAAGACCCCGCGGGGC